ATGACGCCCGAGCTGATCCTCTCCATGACCACGGGCGTCATCAGCCTGGTGATCACATTCCTGCTGGGATTTCAGACGACCTTGACCGGAGAGTGGATGTCCAACTATCACTCGATGCTGTACTCGCTGCTGGCTGCTGGCCTCCAGATCGCCGTGCCGTGTGAGGCCGGGCAGCACGTGCTGGATCTGGCCGCCGCCACGCGCTGTTCGCTGCTGAAACTGCGCTGGGAGTCGACCCGGGTCGGACAGGAAGTCAGCGCTCTGCAGGAGGCCGTGCGCCGCGACCTGGATCACCTAGGAGACCTGGGCTATTACCGGCTGCAGCGCTCCACCATGGTGGCCATCATGTCCACCATCGTCACCTACATCGTCATCTTCGTCCAGTTCAGGATCAGCTAGAGGTCCCGCGGTGACGTCTATCCCTGATTGGATACTGGGCGTTGTCATTCCACTCGTCTATGTATTCACACTTGAGCTTCATCTTTTTTGTAGTCATCTTAACCCTCGCCCGTAAACGGTGTTTTGCCACCTTCGCCCATGCAGGGGGGGGGGTTGGTGCGACCCCCCTGGCGTTTAAAAACGGAGCGTCGTAGAGCTTAGCAGAAAAGACCAACGGATTGCTCTCAACGAGATCTCGCGATTGGTGGTATATTTTTTGGTCCTAGGTCAACATTTGACCTACTTATGACCGGTCAAAGGTCAAATTTTCGGAAAATATCTAACTTTTTCAGATTTCTGCGCCGATTGCGGCAAAACGGTAAAAGATATCGATTTGAAACCTTCACTATCGTGATCCTTGATCAATTCTCTATCGTTTGGTGTGTATTTCGATGTCATAACTCTAAAAATGATGCGTTGGGAGTATCGGAAGTCTGCAAGGTCATTTGTGCATTGGGTCACGTCAGGCGTGTGACGTCACTGACCTGACCCTGACCCAAAATGAACTACAAGAAACAACCTGAAGATGCCTGAAATGGATAGCAAATTCGAACTCAGGGCAGCAAAATACCCCGAAAAGGCATACAAGTGCAAGAAGTCATTACAGGTCAACCGAGGTCACTGACCTTACCTTGACCTTTAGTAACCTTCAAAATGTCAACGGACATTGTGCCAATGTCAAAGCAGCCACTTGTGATTCTAAAACAATCCATCAGTGTGTCAGGTCAGTCGGCATTTATACCAATGCCTGAAGCAATCTCCAATTTAGCGTAAATCTGGCCGGAGGTTGTTCCCTTTATGACGTCATAACTCCGTGACCTGACATGACCTTGACAAAAAAAATACCAAAAGTTGCGCAAAGGATGCCCCAGAGGGTACTGAAAATTTGAGCAGGCTATCTGAAACGGTTCGGCGTGTAGCTAAGAAAAACCTCAGGGGGGTGCACCCCCCCCCCTACATGGGCGAGGGTTAAGCATGTCCACGTTTCCCCAAACGTCAAAGAACACAAGCGGAAACGCGGGGCATCGCCGGGTCGGAACAGTGATGACCGCCGGCGCTGACATCTAGGGCTGCAGAGTCGATGGATTTTCGGTGACTCCGAATCCGACTCAGAAAACTAACACTTATTCTGGGCAGATCTGTCAACTCTGACCGACTCCAACACCTACTCCCACTCTGACTCCGATTCCGCAGCCCTAGTTAGACGTCACGTATGTATATACCCGATACCTACTAAGCAGATTTGTTTGCGTGTCCTGTTGCAGCACCTTTCATTAAGATATGGTCGCAGGACGGTGACATGTAGCGCTAGAAGAAAATGTATAATGTATTGAATGCACTTTGCTCTATACAGCGATTTTAGGGCTATTGCTAGACGTACGATGACTAAAAACGTTTTTTTTTTTCTTCTGAAAACGCTTTTAACCCGCGCCCTGCTGGGGGGGGGGGGGGGGTGTTTGAACACCCCCCTTGTGGTTTTTCGCGAATATCTCAAAAACGGCGGCGCGGAGCGCCACCGTTTTTGGTACATTTAATTATACATCAATTCTACACATGTTGTGAAAATTTCAGACCAAGGTCATTCAAGGTCAGGTCACCAGGTCACTTGAAGTGACCTCACCTCATAAAAAGTTTCAATGTCTTTCATAGCTACACCGAGTGACCGATCGCTTTGAAACTTTCAGCGATTGCTAAGAGCAATAGCATGTACAAAATGTATATCTCAGAATTTTGATATCGATGACCTAAGGTCAGGTCAATTTTGCGACCTTCCCATTATAAGTCAATGGGAGAAAATTGAAATGCGCCTCTTTTGGACAAAAGACATTATAAACACTCCCAAACACCGAATTACAAGTTCTTTAGACACACTGAACATGAAAATGGTGTCCGTGACCCTTGTTTATGCCCTGAGGTCATCGTAGGTCACGAATGGTATCTAACAGTTTTTCGCAAATAACTTTTGATAGAGGCATGCCAGAGCGATGAAAACGCCTTAGATGTGTTCAGCTCGACGATACGGATCGACTGATATGCAATATGACCCTTTCCGGTCAGGTCATGACCTTGACCTGAGGTCAAATTTTCAAGTTGACCTTTCAAGGTCAACTTATACTTCATTCGGTGCGTCTTGACGAGAGGAACACAATGCCGGTAAAAGGAAGCTCGTACAAGGCTTGGGTCAAAAGTTATTGCAGAAAAACAGTTTCCGAAAAAATCGGTTATTTTTGCAGTTTTTGCCCCCTGCAGGCAAAACGTTAGGTCAAATCTGAGAGAATTACTCAGAAAGGGCTTTAATAGGGCTATTGAATGCGCTTTTCCGCGGCGCTGTAGCTCTATTGGTTCCCGAGTTATGCGTTGGCTTCTTGGAAATTTTCGACATTCGACCTGGAAATCGGCGAAATTTTGCCTTCAATGACCTCTGGTGACCTGACCTTTGACCTGACCAAAAAATTGACCGAAGTGATTTCGTCATTATTTTTGACGCTCTTTTGAACGCCGCCTTCCGCGTATCGCTACGTGGCCCAGGAGCCGAGTTACAAGGGGGGGGGGGGTGTTCAAACACCCCCCCCCCCCAGCAGGGCGTGGAAATCCAGGACCCCCAGCCGGGCGCGGGTTGAACAAATTTATTCAGTACGTGCAGCATTGCAGGGACATTGGACAAGACACCCATCAGACGTAAACATGATCCACAAAAAAACATCACCACACCATAGAGAAGGCTATTTAAAATTCTTATCTTCAAGTACAACAAATAAGCCGCCTGTGACGCTGCATATCGCCTCTCTGTCGAGTCGATAGATCATCACCAACGACCGATCCCTGCTCCCCCGTCCCCTCCCATCCCTTCTCCCCGTCGCGGCGGAACGCTGTAGGGTTTCAGTTCAGTAGTAGGGCCGCAGGCGGCGGTCGCGCACACGGTTGCGCGCTGCGGCGATGGTGTGCCGCAGTTTATCGTACTCGGGGCTGTGCGGCAGGCCGACGCCGTCGATCGGGTCCCAGAAGTACGGGTCGTCCAGCGCTGGGTCCCAGTTGGACGGCTCGGTGGGGTACCGCGGTACAAATGGCCGTGAGCGGCGCGGGTAGGTCGGGTACAGCGGGTAGCTGTACGGCTGTCCCGGCTCTCCTGTGGAGACGGAACAGTACGGGCAGGGTCAGAAAAGGGTACAGTTGTTAGCTGTACGGCTATATCGCGGCTTTCCTATGCAGTGTATGTACAGACAGGACAGTTCGGGGTCAGAGGGAGGGGGGTACAGTTGTTAGCTGTACGGCTATATCGCGGCTCTCCTGTGCAGTGTACAGACGGAACAGTGCAGGCAGGGTCAGAGAGGCGTGCAGTTGATAGGTGTATGGCTGTCGCGACTTTCCTGTGCAGGCAGAACGAAACGAAGAAGTCTGAGGGACGAGCGCGGTGACTAGCTCTAAAAGTTGTTTGCATGATATATTGATGCACAAACAATTTGCAATGCGCAAAATGAAATGCATGCGTTTCTATAATCAATCAATGTTATTGATTGAATTTGTAGACCGACGCAGGTACTGCGACAGTGAGAACACAGTCAATGGCCGCAAATTGGTTAATTCAGTGGTTCATTGCAGAACATGCACACTGCATAGATGTAAGATGTACCTAATGATATGTATCTGCTAAGTGTCATATTTATGTTGTTGTGATGTCATGCACAATACAACTGCAGAATGTCCATGTATTGTGAATACATACACTACATACATGTACATATTTACATACACCACATTTAGGTGTCACATGAACTCTTCGTGTTATTTGTGTATTGGACGGACATACGGCGTTCCAGTGATCTACTAGGGTATGCAACTGCTCACCTGTGCTCGCGGATATATCTGCGAGCGCCGAGCCTGTGTCTGTATCGCTCGCGTTGATTCAGTGTCCGATTCCATTAGGTGGATTCTTTGCCGTTGGCAACCGCCTACCCACGGCTTGATTTGCCAAATACCGATAATCTTCTCACGCAACCATACAATTTCATTATGTCGTTTCGCATCATTCCTAGAGCTGCTAACTAAATGATCTAGAACATTAATTTCAAATTTTATAAGTCAAAGTACTCATCCGAGCTCTTTCAATGATTCACATACAAAAAGCTAGCGCCACTAACCATAGATCTCTGTATACAGAGGTCCAAGCACTAACATAAAACAAATGGGTCGTGGGAGTGCTGCACAATATTTCGCAATGGCTGATTCACAAAAAGCTAGTCAGAGCGTAGCTCTCAGCTCTTGGCCTCCATTGTCCGATCGGAAAGCTCTGGTTTAATTTGAGAAAATTGATCAAAAATTCCACCGTTTGTTAACTTGTTTGTTTTCGAAAAAAAGAAAACATTTTCAAGTTTTAGCGCTGAAAACTACCTGATAAAAAAGGCAGCTGTGTTGTAGTATCTTATTGAAACGTAAGTATATTTTACAAATGTTTTTGACAGGCTCTGTCCTCTTTTTTTACATATCCCTCAGATGTCTCGGGATCATTTCATGATTTCCACCGGGTCGAAGGATCGTCTGATGCCACAAATCCAAACCAAACATTCGATTTGCCCACAGTGTCGGCTTTATTTCACAGCGATCACAACAGGACACTGCTTCTCCGCAGCCCCGGTCACTCCGCAGCGCACGCGGGCGGCTCCCCGTCAGACTCGCGCGGTTCACAGTTGTCGGGCTCATGTGCCCGACCTGTAGGAACAGACGTGAAGAGAGCAGCGGGGGTTTGGAAAACTTCGCTTCAGCCCGGAGCTAACCAGGGCACAGGTCAGACTGACCAGTCGCTCATTTTCGCGGTCCTTCTACATAGGAGCCCCGCCGTCCTCTCCGTTCGTCCCGCCCCCTCCCGGTCGTTTCGTCACCCCTCCCGGCCGCGCGGGGCAGGCCTGACCCGACCCGCGCGGCCAGTCTCCCTCACTCGTGTGAAATGATCTGTCGATTGTCGTCAATGAACGATGAATGAACCGTATTCGGCGCGTCGCGAGCACTTCAAACTGAGCCCTCGCCGCTTCCGTGCTCGGCGCGGGATCGCTCTCCGGTCGCGCGTCGCCAGCGCGCCCCTCGCCCTCTTCCTCGCCCTCTCCTCCTCCTGTCGCGCCTAAAACTCCAGCGCGCGCCTCTCGGCGTCCATGCGGCGATCACGGAACCGCCTGCGGGCGCGGTCGATGATGCCGCGCAGGTCGTCGTAGGCGGGGCTGTGGGGCAGACCGAAGTCGACCGGGTCCGAGAAGAAGGGGTCGCTGAACGGGTCCCTGTAGGGCTCGCGGTCGAACGCCGACGGCGGCTCGGCAAAGTGCGGCACGCTGCGCGCGCGCGGCCGAGGAGCCAGCAGCGGCGCAGCCGGGATGCGGCGCGGGCCCAGGGCGTCGTGCTCTCCTGCAGTGGCGTACGGAACGGCGTTAGGCGAAAATCACACAGCATAACACACGGCGGTAAAATGTTACACAGCAGAGGCGAGTCCTCGTGAAGCATCGGTCAGTGTACAGGAGCGAAAGAGCTCCTGTTAGTGGCGACCATTACCACGTAATGGGCGATTTTAACGTAGCACATTTGTAAACCGTGCCGAGCTCACTCTTCATTTATAATATACACAGAAGACTCATACATGCTAGTAGCAGAATTGCATATGAAATATTGAAACGTATTTAGCATCAGTTTACCCCCTGAAAACAACAGTAGGTATCATACATTTCCAAAAGGGGCCTGGATGAGAAAGCAAGAACCTTATTATCAGATTTCCCAAGAGAACAGCAAAATACATTGGGTAAGTGGGCACAGTCATGGCCAGAGTCATGCAAACTATGAATGCAATGCTAGTAAAAACACTAACAACTACGAACTAACTACCAACGAGCAGGAGCTTGCGCAAATGCTTCTTTTATGTTCTGTTCAGGAGTCAATCGTACCCGGGGGTTTTGTGTTCATAGCTAATTTCCTAAGGGTAGGCTTCAATCAAATGTTCCAATAAAGGTTCAACGTCCTAATAGACTTCTGCTAAGTTTGCGAATTGCGATGTTCTTAACATGCCACGCCGACATGCGCAGCGCCTGTAAATGGCCTTAATTGCAAGCTTCTCCAAGGGTCGTGCTCCTCCATAAAAATAACTCACTAGATCACCAAACTATTTGCGTGAAATTTTCGCGATTGGCTAACTGGAATCTACATGCATTTGTAGCTTTTAAGCATTTTCTAGGACTTAGGCTACTGTTTCTCGGACCTGATGCATTACAATCACAACCATCTAAGCCTTCGCCTCGCTCTATCGCGCAACACGACCGTGCTAAGTCTTCGTCAGCTTGTAGCCTCATCTAACTACGCTCGTCCCTTTCCAGCCTGTGAGCCATCTCAGCATTTCAGCTATCTCACTACGCTAAGCCATCCTATTAGAAAAGCTGCACACTATAGTGAGTTCAAAGGGCGGCTACAGGTGGGGAAAGCTCTCCGTTCCCATCTTTGTGCCTCCTTACGGCGTGGCTAGCGGCTCGTTAATTGGTATACTGCGGCACGGCGGGCGCCATCTTCAGCTGGTAGACGGGTCGCGTCTCCTTGACCGCCACCAGGGTTTGGCGCACCTCGACGTCCCGCTTGCTGGTGAATACTTCTGAGCTGTAGCGTTTGTCTACCTTGATGGCGTCGCTGGGCACGGGCGGCGTGGTGCCGCGACACGCTCGCTCCTCCACTGCACGCCGAAACATATCGGGAGGCTTAGAAACCGGACAGGTATGCGTTGTGCAATGTGCACTTGACTCTGTGCCGTGTGCGCTGTAGACAGCGCTGATGAATGTGTGGTTGGTAAATGGAATGTGTTTGCAGATTTATATCTTATGGCAGATTTGTGTGATGCATTTGCGAAAGGTGCTTGTGAGCATAAGGTAGGTGAGGGTATTTCGCTTTCCTGACGCTACCCGAAAACAGTTATCGCGTCTTCCCTAATCGTACTTTGCGTGTGTGTAGGTCATGCCAGATGACCGAGAAGACTTCTTAGGGAGTTCACGGACGTCGGACAGTGCTCACGCCAAAGGACAAGAACACGCAAATTAGTTTGGATGATATCCCAGCAATCGCTCGAGGGCTGTAAAATCACGTTGTCTAGACCACCAATTTTAAATTGCGATCTATTCCAAAAATAGCTATAGAGCAATTTAAATGACAGCCTCATGAAATGAAATAGGAATTAAGAATTATGTATCATTTCTGATGCCAGTTTGTCAGCGTTCAGACAAAAAGGATTAGCCACTTGTCAACTTTCTAAATTTAGTCCCCGAGAAGCGACTTGACAACTGGCCTCATCCTCGAGAGACTGACTCACGTAGGCAGGCGCTCTCAGACCCAGTCTAGCACGTCTGAACACCTGTCGCCGAGGGTGGCCAGCTGGTGAGCGGCACTTGGCGACGGGACTCCCCGGCGACCCGGGACACCGCATTCCGAGCCGTTTTAGGGCAGCCTGCCAGCCAAAGGGCCGCCAACGACACTAGCGCCAGCGTCGTGCGGCGGCTGATGGCGTAACCACTAATCAACGAGCTGTTGTTCGACTGTATCCGTTGGCTTTGGTGAGTCAGCCGGGTCAAAAGAGCGACAAACAGGAGAGAACGTAACTGCCAAAGAGCTGTCAGCGCCATCGCCCAGCTGTCGGCCGAGATAGCCGCTAGGTGACACAGGAGAGCTGCTCAGCCGGCGGCGGAAAGTCTGATCTGTTTGGCAGGGAACCAGAGATGGTAGACTCGAAACAAATGTCAACGCTGCTTTTCTGTCAACGGGTTAACCCTATTAGTGGCAGGCTCCTGGCTACCCCATATTAGTGGCAGGGGGGGGGGCTGTTTACGACCCCCCCTTGATATCTCGAGATCTAACCGGCCGATTTTCAAAATTCAAACGGCATTCGATTTGGCTCAACGAGATCTACATTTCTAAAAAAAATAAAATTAAAAAATGTGAATAGGGGGGTAGAGGGGGGTAAAAACGGGCAAATTGCAGATACATTTTAGACTGTTTATCACGGCCAGGTTTCTGAACCAATCTTAACACAACTTTTGCCGATCGATAGAGAATGAACCAGGAATTCACATGGATCCTAAAAATATGCATTTTCAAAAATCATAGGCGGATACAGATCATTGAGATTGGGGGTACACAAAAAGTATAGTAAATAAGGTTTTTGTTGGTACTGTTTCTAAAAAGGGTGGCAATGGTCTTGTTATGTTACAATTTTCTTATGAGAGAACGACTAAAATTGTATTGGTCATGCATAGGCGGTGTCAGGGCACCTATGTTGGGAGGTAAAAAATAACCCCCCTTTTTGGACGCCTGGATCCGCCTATTATAGCAAAAACGTGTCAAAAGAGGATGCACAATAACTTTGTATATGTTATCACATGATACCTTTCATTCACTGTTCGTAAAACTGGTGCAGCATCGTGATCTTCGCCCAAATGACTCGCTTCACGAATAGGACCCCCAATTCCCAGTGCTCTGGAGCCGCCCCTGGTAAAGTTATGAACTTGAAATTTTCAGGGAATGTGCTAAATTTAGTTTTAGGAAAAGTCAGAAAATTTCAGCATCGTAGCTTCAGCGGTTTCGGAGATATTCCCGAAAAACCTGAGGGGTGGATAAAAACAACCCCCCCCCCCCTGCCACTAATAGGGTTAAATGCGAGCATTGTTTTCAGCTATTCTTTTTCTTTTATATTTTGCAATCGAATGGTTTCGGGACCTCATTCAGGCTGTTCTTGCGTATCGAAATGCGTTGGTACGTTTTTGGTCGGCAATAATCTGTTTATAAATGTCACGCTGTGCATTTGGAATGCTTTTGAGCTCAGTACTGCATAAACTTTTTTATGAAGGCCCTACTGAGCCATCGTAAATCTTGAACAAGTATGCTGTGGTCATCGTCACTGACTATTTACAGACGATGGTGACATGTAGTTTGTTGCTGGTGACGTAATTCGATGACGGTATGCAATATGCTTGTACATTTCGACGTCGTTTCACAAAGCTGCTTGCAAACGACATTGTACACATATTTACATACAATATTATTCACAAGGAAGCAGATTAGATAAAAATTGCTCCATTAAAAAACACTGTCCAAAAATAGCCACAATAAAAATGCCATTAACATGTTATATGTACATGTTATACATGCGCATCAAAAGCATGAAATATCTGGCACAAAATATGTAAAATAGAATTATTGATAGAACATAGCAACAGTAAAGAAGGTGGACGTTTCGCAGTCAATTCTCACCCTTCAGGCCCTTCATGTAGTCGAGCCAGAAGCCGGCGTTCCTCTCCAGAGGCCGGCCGATGGTGTAGAGGTCAAGGTCGCGCTTCCAGTGAACCATTGTGAGTGTTTTTCTGTCGGATAAAAAGCGATGGTCGAAGTTTAGAGATCAACACGCAGAGTTGTCCCGATATCTACTTTTCACCAAGTACACATTGGAGTTCAGGAGCTTGTGCAGTGAATTCTGATCAAAGCTGCGCCATGGGCTAGGCGTAATATTCATGTTTGAGGTAAGATGAATGCTGTAACACCTTAGTGCTCCTCTCCTCTTTATAAAGACACATGATAACACTTGAAATTTAGCTAACGCTGAATGTTACTCTTAGAAGGCTGAGATGAGTGGCTATACTTATTAGACGAGTATGTGCACTTTCAGGGGTTAGGACTTATTTAATTTGATGACGAGGTGAACGGGTGGTGCTTTTACACTCGGTTCTGGCTAATGACAATGATGACAGGTGTAACTGGCTCCACTGCAGCCTGGATCGGTTGCCAGCCGGTCTGGCAGTTTCCACTGTCACTGGCGGTCGGCGCTGGCTCTGAGTCAGGTGATGGACGCTCTGTGTAATGTTTGGCCGGCGGCGTGGCGGGGCTGACGTGTGCCCCACTGGCCCAGATTAGCACCGGGCGCGGCCAAAAACCGCCCAGCCGGACCGCCCACCGGCCGTGACTGGCCGGGTAGGCTGTGCCGCCGGGCAGCTGAGCCGGGCGGCGCAGTATACCCACGCAGGTATTTAGCCAGCGCCGTTCTGACGCGCTGCAACGGCAAATAAAAACGGCCCGTTTGCGGGTGAAGCGCGGGTAAAATCAATGTCATTGTCAAAATGCATTGATAATAATTGAAATGTATGGGACGATGGGCCCTGGTACTCCTTTGAACCACCGGAAATGTATAAGTGAACGGCGGTGGGTATTGCTGTCTATTTGTGAGTGCTTCAAACGACAATGAGGAGAGCAGAAATTGTTTGATGAAGCTATGTGTGAATGATTTGAATAAGTGGCTTCGTTGTGTAGGCAGTAATTGCCAGTAAAAAAAGATGTCTGGTAGGCATGCTTACGGTGAAATTGACAGTCCTTGACGTTGATTGTTCCAACTTCCAATACAATAGCGGCTGAGGTAATTAATTATTTCCAGTGTACTTAAGCTTCAAAATGGCTACAAACACTTCTCCGTCATTTTGGCTGTTCAATCATCTCAGTCACGCAGTCGAATTCCCTGCCACTTTTTTGCAGTCAGGCGTAAGAGCAGATGGATTGAAATAAATAAAACGGCATCGTGGGTAGGTAATGGTATCCTTCTATTACAAAGAAGTTCAAGTCGGACAATGCTTGAAGTCTGAGGAATGATAGCAAGCATATGCATTTTTAAAATGTATGTAGTACTACTAGTAGTAGTTATAAATTGCCTAGTAGGTGTTTCTGTTATGTATCACACAAATGATGTCACCTGGTGATGTGAAAGTGGCATGTTCTTTGAATTAAAAAAAAAAACTTTAGCATCATGCGAAATATTATTATTTTGTAGACCTTCAAAATGTAGAGGGTGCTTTTAGCAGGGGGAGAGTCGGGGTTCTTGGCTCGGGGTCCTCTGAGCACTCCAAAACCCCTAATTTTCCGCCCTTCGTCGTCCTGAAGCTGTAGAAACCAGTATAGCTGTAGCTGACAGAAACCAGTATCATGAAGAATACCTACTTGCTTAAAATTTATAGAAGCAAGGAGATAATATATTGGCCAAAAAGCATCTAAATCATCTTTGGAATGTAAGAAATGTAATTTATGCCCATTACAATTGGATGGGGAGCAGCTGTGATGGCTAGAGTATAGTGGTGCCATTCTCAGAAAATGTATATCCAATGTCCGTCCGATGTCCGGTGTTTTCGTCCACTGTCGGTCCAAAAATGTTCAAGCCAGCCATTTGTCCAAAGATTCCGAAAACTACGCATTAAGTTACACTCAACACTGCCATGTCGCTTGTTTTTAGTGTAGGGGAAGTTGGGGCAATGCCGGAGTTGGGGCAAAGCCGAACTTCGAGATATTTCGAAAACCGTAAGACATGGATGCCACCTGTCAGTGATGCTCTGAGGCTTAAGTGACTACAATTATCGCATGTTTGTTACGAGTCGTCATTCGGAATACTTCGGCTGTGAGGGCGCCAAGAGCGTTTTCAAGGTACGCGTTCCTTGTACTACATGCGCCTTTCAAGCTGCATTTCTTACTCATTATGCTACCGTTTGTCTGGCCAATTCGGTCAAGTAATCTTCATCATGTCTTTGCATAAGTGTGCTGCCTATTTGAAATTTATACGGCACGTTGAAAAGTTATGGGCCTGCAAATAAAAGTATGGCTGGCTGGGGTAATGCCGAAAACGTGCAATTACGCACGTTAAAGCACGCTACGTGGACTTTACTGCTGTAGAATAGCAACGCGAATTTTTAGTCACACAAATTACACTTTCAGCCGACACAACGGCCTGTTACCTATAAGGAATTATTTACCTGGCATTTTCTTATTATATCACACAATTATAACTTCCAGTGTGCACCAAGCGTCCTCAAGCTCTTAAAACGCGTGCCAGCTTTGATAAATTCTGGATAAAGTTTGAGATAAAGTGGCAAAACATCAATGTCGGCATTCTCCGTAGATCATTTCTCCCATTTTCGGCTTTCCCCGCAGTCCGGGGCAACGCCGAAAAAGTCACTTCTTTGATATTTTTAGTTTGTGCGCTTAACGGTATGCGAATTCATCAAATGCGCCTGGTATGTTTGAAAGGCAAAAGACTGGCCTCTCGAATGACGCCAACAAGAATAGCTTATGTTGTCTACCTTGCGTGCTACGGGCGTCAGAAAAAAAGTATTCGGCGTTCCCCCAACTTCCCCTACTTTTACTAGCCCTAAAGTGTTTTTCGTATCGAGAGCTGAGAGCTGAGATTTATATTCACCAATCAATGCTAGACACGATTACTTTTACTTTATATATAAACAAAAGATGTTGAGGTGTAGCAAGTGATTGTCCAAGGTTGTCCAAAGCCTGCTGCCTTTGTCTAGCCAAATTGCGAATTGGGCACCGGACAAGATCGGAATTCCGATGATCCAAGTTCCGATTGGAAACACTACCAGAGTACTCAAAACTGTTAGTAGAAGTCGTTGCTGGTGAGCGCTGCAGCCAGTGGCCGTTTTGCAGACACCTCGGCCCGTCTCTCCTCCTACCTCGCTCAGCCACGCCGCCGGCAGAGTCGGCGGGTCGGAGTCACCCCTGGCACCGCCCACTGACCTGAATTTCCCTCACAGAGAGCAGACTGCAGCGACCACCACCAGCAGAGGGCACGGTCGGGGACGGACTGTGAGGAGGCTGCCCACCGCCGCCCTAGCCGACCCGACCCGGCCCGGAGCCAAAAATATCAGACCGCCCGACCGGCCGCCCTGAATCAGACCCTGGCCGCCCTCGCCCCGCCCCCGCTCGCCACCAGGAGACCCACTTAATTTGATCCCGACATGTCCTGTCCCTCTCCCATTTACTCCATCTAAATCAGAAGCAAGTAAATTGTTTGTGGCCGTGTTTTTTGGGTGACGCAGCGTAGGATGATGCGACAGACGACAAGCTTTGATTGGTAGAATCACCTTGACTGGCACGACGAGACAGAAGACGCAGAAGGTCAAACAGCACGGCGACAGCTCTGATAGTGGTTAGAGACGGTTGCGTTGGGTCGTGAGCGGCATAGCGGATTGTAGCTCACCCAATTGCAGATATTGAACACAAGTCTCAGTCATGTCTGAGTGTCCAGCGTGCCGTCACCAAATGCTAGATGTGGTTGTTACTGGTCGGCCTGGAGTGTAAATAACTATAACCCCTTATTTTGTCGCAATGGCGCCCATGGTCGAGGACATGGCATAGCACGCATGCAGCATGAGGGGCGGTGGAGTCTGCTGGCCCCATTAGTGCGCTTTGTCAGTGATGAGATGAGACTGCCACAGGTTGGCGCTCCGTCGCGCTAATGTTTTTATATGCAGCCGTGAAAATCCCATTGTAAATGAGTAGGAGCATCGCACCAGGCTGCTACAACAGCTGACGCGGTATAGCAGATTCCGGTCAAGGTTGACATACGATCTGTGCGCCCGGGCCGCTTAGGCTGAGCGGATGCAACCCCTCCGAGTACTGGCACCTGGCCAGAGCGCTGGCTGGCGAGAGTCCAGCAAATCTTCCAGTTCTAGCCAGATCAGTGTTCTATACGCACTTGATATTGTGGTCTCTGGGACCACTTGTGATAGGCGATGATTCGAAAAGCTCGTTAAAAATTTCATAGCCCGAGGATGCTCCAAGATCAAACGAGGTAGACGTCAAGCATGTTGGAATCTTGGCAAGAAAGGGTTCAACGGTGCACGAAGCTTTGAAATTCATACCGGGTGAATGAGATTCGGGAGAAAGGGGAGATGTTGGGTCCGTGATGCTGTGCACGATGCCCGAGCTTGTAGTCGGGTTACTTTACTTTTACTATTCGTAAGAAAGAGGTGTACCTATTCATCCATTTTTCCACTGGCTTATGATTCAGAAGGCACAAATTGACAAACCGCGGTAGATCACATGTATCGAATATTAGATACATGCGCATAATGCAGCATGTCGCCTCTTTGTCTCAATTGCAGGAGCTCCGCAGATCAAAAACAGTCGTTTGCTTCAAACGGTGAAACTTTAATATTTTTAGGCAAGGCCATCTTACGTTACCCGGTGAACTGACCTGAAGTGACCATGGGCTAAACTGTTCGCAAACGGTTATCCCGAAAAGTGTCATTTTAATTAACCCTCGCCCGCACATGCCATTTTCCCATCCTAGAACGCACATGGGGGGGGTGCCACCCCCCCCCGCGCCATTTCGTTCCTGTTGGAGATAGAGCTTAGCGGTAAAGACCAAAAAGATTCTTTGGGAAGAGAATCCAATGATACCCAGTTTTACCTCCTCAGGTCAGTCATTGACCTTCCAGGTCAGGTCAAACTAAAAAATGTTGCTGTTTTGGGTCACCGTTGGATATCAAGTGCGCTGCTTATCAAACACCGATGACGATGCTGTTTTCTGGTGCCAAGCTAGCTAGAACCTCTTTGTCACACTACCCGACCAGAATTTTGCTGCTGAGGTTATTTCAGGTCAAGTTAGGTCAAGGTCAATTATATGTGTTTGCACGTCTGTGTGTCTGTGTGTATACTGATGTGTGCACCGATTGTTTTTGGGTCCATATTACATAAAATCATGATCTGAGAAGCTTTTACCAAAAATGCAGTCAAAAAACTTCACAAAAAGTAAATTCAGCTTGCCTAAAACACAATTATCTTAGATGACCTAGGTTGACCTTGACCCTGACCTTGACCCCTGTACATCGTCGAACAACATGTTCCATGATAGGTGGGAGGTAAGACTGGCAAAAAAGGCCGAAATCAGGGTGTCAAAAGCTCACAAGGCCCATGGCAAACGCATGATGTTGAGAATTGGCCATTTGGGTCATGACATGACCTGAAAAACAAGGTCATATCTCCGAAACCAAAAATCACAGAAACTTCAAATTTTCAGTGTACATCAGGAAAGGATAGAGGAGCAGCTATACGAGAAATCAGCCCTCTAGCTCTAAAAATGTTGCGTGTAGAGCAGAAAGACTACCTGGGGGGGGGGTGGCAACCACCCCCCTCCCCATGTGCGGGCGAGGGTTAAGGCATTCTCATATAGACTTTGCTCGGAGGATGTTTGTGAAAGAAAGTGCTTCCTCAACAGAACGCAGGTTCAGGAAGTCCTTCATAAAGACATGAAAGTCCCTTCTGGTTATGAACAACGATGGCTTTGAACATTATCGTTAGGTACTTACCTTTGTGATTATATGATGTCGTATGATGATGATATGGTATAAGAAAGATGCCTAGGTCTGACGCATCCGTTGGAATCATTGCTGAAACATCTCCATTTGGCCGCTGTTGGCGTGTTGCTGTTGGCAGCAAGCGGTCATCGTCCTGGGCCTGCGACCAAACCTCGCCACTCATATGGAGCTCCGGCCGCGCGACCGCCAGACACGCTATACATAGCCCGCAGCCGAGTCACCGGCGTCGCCGGGTCACGTGGTGCGGTGACGTCATCGCGGCGTATCGCCCGAGGCGCCGTCTGGTCGAATACAGGGTCAAGGTCCGTCGCCTGGGGCGACAACCGTAGATGGATCGAGGCAGTGTGACAGAAAACGGCGTGCTAAGCTGACACCGACCGCCGGAGGCAGTGTCACTAGATATAGAACTGTCACTCGGTTATTATTCGTTTAACGTGTAAAACCTTGTGTAATACTGACAACGTCTGTCGTGCGTTGGGGTCACACGCTGTTAGTGTGTTAAGTTAGATAAAGGAGCCAAGCCCGGATGACAGAGGCACGTCATAATATCAAATTGGGACAATGCAAGATATTTACCTTTGGAGT